AGCAGCAACAACCCTACTGCACCAGCACCAGCAGCAGCAGCAGCAGCAGCAGCAGCAGCAGCAGCAGCAATTGCTGCTGTCGTCTCTGCACCATCAAACAACGGCAGCAAGTAGGGACGAAACGCCTAAAATTAAATTATAAAATACACAAAATAAATGCAACAAATAAATACCCCACACACTGCTGTTGTATGCTGCCTCCAGCTGCTGTTGCTGCTGCTGCTGCTGCTGCTGCTGCAGCTGCACGTACAGCCGAGATCGCAGCGAGTCGAGGGGGGCGCTGGGGGTTGGTTGTTTTGTTTTATTTTTTGCATATTTGTGTTTAAATTTAGGAAAACAATTAAAAAATAATTAATTTATTTTGTTTTATTTTATTTTTGCGTTTATAATTCATATAAATATGTGCTGTTGCAGCCCGAGCGGCCGCAGCGCGGCAGAGCCTGTTGCTGCCGTAGTGTATGTTGTGTATGGTGTTTGTTGTTTTTTTTTTGTGTGTATAATTAAATTTATATATTTTATTTGTTTTTATTTTTATTTTATTTATTTATTTTAATATTTATACACTCAATTCATGCAGGGGTGTTGCTGTTCTCTCCCCCAGTTGGCTGTCTGTTGCTGCTCCGCCTCGGCAGCTGCAGCCGCAGCCGCAACAGCAGCAGCAGCAGCAACAGCAGCAACAGCAGCAACAGCAGCAGCAGCAGCAAGCTGGGGGCCCTCCTCTTCTCTCCTCTCTCTCTCTCTCCGCTGCATGTTCTTTCTTTTTTTTCTTTGTCTCTTCTTTTTCTCTGCTGTCTTTCTTTGTTTGGCTAACCAGCGGCTCTCTTCTCTCTCGGCGCAGCAGCAGCAGCAGCAGCAGCAGCAGCAGCAGCAGCAGCACCGCCGCCTCCTCCTCTTTATCGTTGCCGTTGTTGTTGCTGCTGTTATTAATATTTTACTTATTCATACTTTTGTTGCTGCTGCAGTTGCTGCTCTACAGGGTCGTCCCCAGGGTGCGCAGCAGCTGCATCTGCAGCATCAGCAG